CCCTGCTGGCTCATAGCATAGTCTCCAGACTGTCCCTTGGGTCCTCTCATGTGTTGTCTCACCCCATCCAAATGAGCTTGGTTATTTGTCTTCAGTTGTCTCAGCACCTCAAGTGATGTTGGACGCTGAGCAGGTGCTTGATAAATGTTTTGTTTGACTCCCTCGTATCTTCTGTGCTGGAGCCTCAGCCATGTATTGTTCTTCCCAATGCTCCTTTTCATCTGAAAAATAATATAAAAAGCTTTGAATAAAGTTCAAGTTCATAAAATGACCCCAAACCACTTGTTTTTTTTTAATAAGCAGTACTGGCGGTTGAACTCTGCACCTCGTGCTCGCTAGGCAGGTGCTCTACCACTTGAGCCGCTCTGCCAAGCCCCAAACCACCTCCTTCTAACTTCATTCTCTACTACTACCAAAATCTTTCATATTCCTTGGCATCATCATCCCAAAGCTGACTATTTTTGTCATTTCCTGTCCAAAATGTCTCCTTACACAATCCCTCACCTCTTCATCTCCCTACTCTCCTGGCCACTCTGTGAAAATGACAGTCTCTAGCTAGGACCATATCCCCATTGTTACAAATATTAGGCCCCTAATCAGAATTCATTGGGTGAAAATGTGAGGTGAGTTGGCTGATGCTCTGATCTTCTAGGCCAAACTGATGCCTTTTCCCTGTGGCTTCCATCCCATTGTCCTTCATATATCTCATGTCAAAATACATTTTGGCGTTAAGTTATAATTACCTGTGTACATTTCAGTGATTCCCAGAGAACATGAGTTGAGGGCAAGCCCTATGACATAAATATCTTTCCATCTAGAGGATTCCCAACACAAAGCATCTTAGGCACACAATATATATTTGTTGTTTGAAATTTCGAGTCTTCTACTTCAAAATGTTTGGTGACAATCTGTAGCAGTTCATTTTCTTCTTCCAAAGTTATAAGTGGATATATACAAATAAAGGCGCAACTTGATGGAATATGGTCCTTAGTAAATTTAATACTTGTATCCTAAGGCTAAAAGGATTTGGGGATAAAAAAAGTAAAAGACTGGTTCAACTAAGAAACCTTTACAGTCCAATCTAGCTCTGAAGTTCAAAATTCTGGATTTCCGGGTAAAGTTAGTCTCTTCTGCTGTACCCATGTTCATCCTATTCATCCAGTGCTATTCTGTTTTGTCCTCCCTAGAAAATGGCAAGCATGTATGTGTGTACAGACACGCTCCTCACTCAGATACAAGTCCTATCTACCTCATACACAACATCAGTTGACCACCCAGTCAAGTGTCTTTAATTTTGGTCTATTTTCTTTTTAATCACTTGTTTATACAGGCTTATTTTGAGTACAATTATTGTTGTGTTTTCTTTAGAAATGATGGAACTTCCTTCTTTTTATTAGCTAGGTAAACTCCTATGATTCCAGAACAAATAGATACAGTTTCAAAAGAGAGGCAAATAATTCCTCTGTCTTTAGCTCTATACACAGTGCTTCCCATTGGCACTAAATGAATGCTTGTTGAGCAAGTGAATGAGTGAATGAGTATTCCACATGAGGTCATGAAATAAAGAAAAAAACAAAACTGTGGCTTTAAGTTCAACAGTTGATGGAGCCAGCATTCTCCTCCTCGAAGGAGGGAAAAAGTACATGTTATCTCATGGGATCAAAAATTGGGTCTGAAATGATCTCCGAGAAGGAACTTAGAAGTAGAAAGTAGAAGCGCTGTCTTCCAAGGTTTTTTTTTAAAAGGATGTAAATTAGCTTATAAATTACTACTAGTAAATCGATCCTTCTTCTCTCCCTAAACTTATAAAGGGAAGTACAATAACATTTTCCTGAAAAGAGATTTAGTAATTCTGGCAGTTCTTCATTAATCACTTAATCAGTGTTCAAGCAGAACTGATGTCCTTGACATATATAATCAATCTTGATTCCTCCCACATTTGATTTTCATCCTTTTTGAAATACGACAACTACACACACTGAAGATTAGTGGCCTATTTTCACATCATAGTTTTGTTAGAGACAAATAATATGTGCACAGAAAAACAACTGGAATATTGGTACCTATAGTGCGTCTCTTTATAGTCTATTTGAAAACTTGTTTTCGGTAGTGAATTTATGGAGATTAAAAAATGCTAGAATCAGATTCTATTATAACTTAATGGGAAAATGGACTCCGTTCATTTTGTTAGCTTAATGTATTTGGAGGTAGCTTGCTCATTCTTATAGGTAAGACACAGGTACTTGTTTATGATACAAGCTGAAAAACTTTTCCAAAACTACATCCTAAAAGAAGCCAGCTTGGAAAAGTAATGGCATCCCAAAATTGAGCAACATGGATTAGACGTGTCTAATGTCTTCTGCTAGGAAAAGTATTTTTATGAATACAGAAGTTCTAGTTTTGTCATTCTTTTTCTCTTAACACAGTAATTTAGAAGTTTAAAATGTTATTTTTCACCTCAAATCTTAGTGATGTGTAATTCCCATGTCTACTTATTCACAGCCATACAGCCCTCCACTTACACACTACTTATCCATATCATATAGTTTTCTTATTCCCATAAAAAGAAAACAACTGCAGTAGAGACTTTACAGGGAGGGAATGTGAAAAAGCAACTGATGGAAACTTATTTGTAATTGTTCATATACTTAAACAAGTGGACAAGATCTGTTCTGTCTGCTTAATGGAGAGTATTTGTCCTCCATAAAGGGTAACAGCATGGTGTCTCAGGATTGTCTAAAACCAACAAGTCTGCACCCACTGTGTATTACAGAAACTAAAGTAAAAATAAGCTTTCACACTAATGTTGAAAGAAGAAAAGTCCTTGGAGAATCCTCAGACTTGCTAGCGTTCAGCCACACCTATAGCCAGATGTATAGGCTAAGAATCATGAAGTCCAAAGGATAATAAGAACAGTTCATGCTTACTGAGGTCTTCCCATGGTCTCTTGTGGTGTTTTGCATGGGTTCTTTAATGGATTATTCTTAATATCCCTATGAGGTCAATATCACACATATTCTCAGTTCAGTGAGACTCTGAAATCAAGTAATCTGCCCACAACAGCTGGTCTGTTGTGGGTCTGCCTGAGTCCCAAGCTCTGAGCCACTAGTCTACTTACCTATATCAGGTGTATAAACTAAGGCCTAGTCAGTAGGATGCAGAACTGAATATTTCAATGTACATATTAGGTAGAAGCTGATCTTCAGAACCATTATAGTAAAATAATTATCCTTTAATGAAAAATTAATGAAACTCTGAACTAGCTAGAAAGTAATTAGTAGATTACAACAGAAATTAAGGTTAACATTCTACCCAGGCATGAAAAGGTGAAAAGGAGTGTTGGAGAGAAGGTTAATTATCAGAGTCCATATCACATTGGTGAGAGGTGGATTCGATTTTGAATGACTATCACTTATACCCATACAGACATGGCCTTTATTAGGAAAACAAATTTCCAGATCTAAATGAAATCTCCTAAAACTATTCATTCTCTGCCCCCTACCCCCACACTGCCACTCCCTACTCTTTTGCTCTGATGTATGGTGATCAAAGCAATTTTCTGACAACTAATTTAACTCCTCAAACACATGGCTATAGGAAAGGTTATCAATTATTAAGTGAGGTATGACTTTCATTAATATACTGACAATTTTTTAACAGTGTCTTAAGTTGTTTTTGTTACTGTAAATCAGTTCTTCCTGGTCTGGTTAACTCTGGAGAAAGCAAAAGAACTTTACAAAAAGAAGAATTGCTCCCCCATGCTGTTCCAATCCCTTGAATCTCTGCCTGTCCTTGCTTTACTCCTGCCATGTGACAGGACCTGCCCTAAAACCCACCCATTTTAAGGGAACCTGATAATGTCTCTTCAGAGTTTTTAAGAATAGACAAGAAGTAAAATATAAGGTGGGATTCTGGCTAGAGGAGAGCTTGTGGACCCAACTAGGCACTGTGAGCCAAGACAACCTCGGCTGCCATGGGCCTAGCTGGCATATGGAGTCAACACACTTGACAATGTGTTCAGTACACCCTGTGCTTAGAACAAAGAAACAAGACATGGTTACCATCTTCAAAAAGCCTGTGAGAAAACAAGTCCATAGCTGTTGTACAATAGGTGACTTCCAAGTTAGCAGCTTGAAGTAAAGTCAGGCACCAGACAGGTAACCAACAATGCATTTCCTAGCTGGGTCCCGCCAACTTTTCCAAAAGGAACTTACCTCCGTTCCTTCTTCTGGCTTCAGGGGGAGAGCTCAGGGTTACATCACAAAGTGCATACCTTCTCTGTGTGTCCTTGTAACCTGTAGTTTCTACTGTCCCCATGCTGCTCCAGCATGTCTTTTGTATCTAGGTGTAGAGTGTCCCAGGCATCCATCTACTACTGCCAATCCCACCCAACAAGGATGCTCCTCATAAGAATCTATCCTTAAAGCAAGATGTTGCCACTTTTCTATTCCTGATGGATCCAGCACAGCAAATGTGAAGAAGCATTGTGTTCTCACTCTCACTGAATTCTACATTAGGAGACAAAGTAACACCTTCCTTATATCTTCTTGGTTTTCCACAGGAGCATGATGGTAGAGATTCTCACTTCAGTGACTCTTGATTGAGCTGATATGTTGCTAATATCCAGGCATTTGTCCAAAGAAAGCCAAAGTCTCACCACATCCCTCAACATCAGTGTCCCTGAGTATTGTCATTCACTATCCAGTTGTGCTGAAAGCCTTCACTCATTAGTACCATTGAGTGGTTGGTAGATAGACCTGTTCCTACATGATCAAGGGGGTCCTAGATCAAAGGTCTCCCAAGAAACTTTAATGCTTCCCAAGAAACTCCTCTTTTCTGCAAATGAGGACCTTCTGAACCCTACCCATTAGCTCCACGTCTGCCCAACCAAAATGTTGACAATGGTGACTTATCACAGCTTAGATGTATATTCTGGGATCTTCATGACAGTAATTAATTATATATGAAAATTGCATACTACATCTGCTTTTCTGTTACAGATAAAGGAATATTCATTATCCAAAGTGAGAGCCTCAAGAAATGTATTCAGGCAAGTAAATCTGTACTGACCCTGGAGAACTGCCAACAACCAAACAAGTACATGCTGTGGAAATGGGTTTCAAACCACCACCTTTATAACTTGGGAGGCAACGGTTGTCTGGGCCTGAATTTATCAAATCCAGAGCAGCCATTAAGCATATATGAATGTGATTCTTCCCATGTTTCCTTGCGGTGGCACTGTAATAGAAAAATGATCTTGGGTCCACTCCAGTACATGGTCCAGGTGAAGCATGACAACATGGTTGTGACTGCATGGAAACAACTTCATACATGGATTTCCTACATGTCAGGTGGAAGAGACATTTGTGAACATCTTCACAAAGGTAAAAATAATTAAAACAGAGAACTTGTGGAATGATATTTAGTATTTAGAAAGTATTCCATCAGTAAAGATTTACAAAGCAGCATGAAGGAAGTAGGAAGTGCAATGTCAAAAGACTTCTGGTAAACATATCTTAGTGTCTTCTTTGCTTATAGTAAAAGGATTACTGGAGTTTTGGAATGTTTCTGTTAAATTCTGCTAAAGAGGCAGGTGTTGAAAGGAAAAAACATTTAACTATCTTTGGGAATCAATGGAAAGGAGAAGAAAGAATGAGAGAGAGAGACAGAGACAGAGAGAGAAAGGAAAGCAGAAGAAAACAGTATGTAAAGTGAAGCTTTTGCATTGACAAATACAATAATTGCCCCTGCCACACAATTTTTTTTTTTTTTTTTTGTAGCAGCTCAGCCTTGCTTATGGAGGTGTCTCTGTAGGACACAAATGCCTCCTAAAGCCTGGCTGGCATCCATGTGACAGTCATACTACAAGGCACTGGAAGATAAATGATACACTGTTGTCAAGGGTTATTTGTTGTGTGTCAAGCATGGAATGTAGGAGGCATGATTTATTGGAAGACTTTCATTTTCCATACTTCTGTTATTTTTAGCATTCTTAAACAGAAAAAGAACAAAACATTTTTTAAAAAGTCACATAAATTCTGACACTCTAGCTCTGTCATTAGGGCTAATCTTGTAGCTGTATTCATTCATTCATCTACCCATCCATCCACACATCTATCCATCTATCCATCCATCTGACACATGTTGAGCACTGAGTTTTCATCAGGTTCAGTGCTAGGCACCTGGCTTATAAAGGCCAACAAGACACATGTGGTCCCTCTCCTATGCTGATCATAGGAATTATGCTTTTATGAGAGCATGTCCTCCTAAAAACCCTATACCTGGGAAGCAGAGCAAGGAACCCCTAAGGCTCAAAGCAAGACCTTCTCCTACAGCTATAGGGACTAAGTGAAAAGAGGGCCAAGAGCGAGACATTTTGGGGGCTTACTACAATAAACTAAGCACTATAGACTAGCATTCTGAAAACTCTACAGTTCTAAGGAAGAACTTGAACTTTGCTTTGTGTTAAGTTTTAGCCACATACCCACAATGCACATGGGAAGACTCTAGGCAACACATGCTTCTGAGTAGAAGGCAGAAGATTGAAACAAAAGGATGCGTTCTGAAGTATTTCTAATTCCTAGAAATGCCTAACTGCTATGGCTGGTAAATGTTATGACCTCAGTCTGGCCCCTGCCAGTGGTGGGAAAGTGATGGAAATCTCCACAACTGACCTTTTTTGTTCAGGATCAGTGACTTAATTAAGGGTGGCTCTGATCCTCTGCTTTATAGAAAGCCCAAGTTGAGTTTTTGTTGATTTCTGCCTATGGTCAAGGATGCTGGATTATTTGCAGTACTCTGAAAAAGCAGCCAGCAGAACACCTGGCATGGCCATCTCTGTCTGGACCACTGTAGAAGCTGCCAACCAGCCCTCTTCATCCTTTCACCATTTAGGCTGTTTGTCACAATGCAACCCAGAGTGATTCTTTAAGAATGGAAATCTGATCTTGTCACTTTCTCATTCAAAATTTACCAGTGATCTCCCACCACCTTCAGAGTAAAGAACAAAGTCTGTAACAATAGGATGAGGCAGTACTTCCCTGCTTCCTCTTCCCCTCAAGCATCCTTGCCCTTTTTCATTCACATCCCTCACCCTCACCCCCCAACACACACATGCTGTTTTCTCCAGTTCTTTACACTTGCTGTTCCTTCTGCCAGGAAAACTTTTCCCAAGACTATCACTCTTGCTTCATCCAGCTCTTATTCAGAGAGGTCTTACACTGACTGCTCTACCCAAAGTACCCTTCCACCTTGTCATATTCCTCTCTCTCTCTCTCTCTTTCTCCCTCTCTCTCTCTCTCTCTCTCTGTTCTCTATATCTCACTTTTCTTCCTGGCATTTATCACTACCCAGATTGTATTATATGTTTATTTCTCCCACTAAACCAAAAGCTCCTCACAAAAAGAAATTTTTGATATTTTGTTCATTTCTATACCCCAGTGTAGGGTATATTAAATGCTCAATAAATATTTATTGAATGAATAAATTAATAAATGCCTATGAAACTATTAGGGTTAGATGCTGATAGCTGATATATTTGGGGACTGGAAGATACTTTCAAGTAAAATCTCCATTAAATTTTCCTTTTCATCCACAAACAATGTATGCTGCTCTAGCAATGCACCATAGTAAATAAACACATAGACAAATAAATAAGCAAACCATTTACCCAGACTTCCTCTGAGCCCAGCATTGGTCCTGGCACTTCTACAGACACTGGACAGTGAGGACCTGAGGTCTCACTGAGCTTTAGTCAATACCTGATCCTAGGAGTTTTTCAGTCAATAAAAATACATTAGCCAGATAATAGTTGCCAAAGATGAAGCTGACACCATATTTGACTTTGTCCATTTTTTTTTTCTCCTAGATTTGTATACAATCAAAGGGAATGCCCATGGAACACCATGTATGTTTCCTTTCCAGTATAAACACCAGTGGCATCATGAATGCACCAGGGAAGGCCGGGAAGATGACTTGCTGTGGTGTGCCACCACAAGCCGATACGAAAGAGATGAGAAGTGGGGATTCTGCCCAGATCCCAGTAAGAATAAATGTAGTGTTCTCCATATGTCATGAATGAATCGAGGATGATTAGAAAGTTATCTGCACCTAAAGAAAAGCACCAGGGTTGATGGATTGAAGTCTGAATAAGCACTTTGATTCCATTAATCCAGATTTTGATTTGGGGTTTGTTCTTAGCTTGAAAAGACAATTTTGATGTATATTCCTTTTTGTCCTTATGTTCAAAAGATGTTAATTAGTCATTCTTCATTAAGCTCATTGCATAAGGATACTTTAACTGGAATCAAATTATAATACTCTGAGATCAAATTAATCTCAGCTTCTCGCAGGGTACTTGAAAACAAACCTGAATGTATAAGAAGCCCAGTTATCCTTTCAGTCCTCTACCTCTTATGAGCTGCCCTAATTTCCCCACATCCAGACTGCTTGTCTTGCCCATTGTCAAGTCCAGGCATCAGCCAGCCCCTTGATGATCTTTCTATAAAATCGCAGTTTCCCTCATTATTTCTCAACAGTGGGTTCTCATCCTGACTCCCTTCCCTTGCCACTTACTGTCCAGCCATAGCCTCAACATCTTTCTCTCAACTTGATTTTCTAGGTTCAGTGACAGCTGCAATGCTCTTTTGTTTCAGTTAGTGCCTATTTTTTATTTTATTTTATTTAACTAAAGGGTTTCCACTTGTTTCTAAGCATGGGAGAATATTTATGAACACTTTCTGCTTTCTGTATTCCATTTCCTTCACCTTGGTTCCTGTGTGTCAGAGAGTAAAGATTTTACAGTCTCTTCATCTTCCCTGCCTTCTTTCCTTCCAATATATAACAAAATACAACATTAAATTTAAAACAAAAGCAAATTAAAGAGATTAACTCCAAAGAATCTTGACTTATAAATTATCTGTAGAATTGTTTTCTATTGTAAGAGTCAGTATAACTTAGTAAGTAGGGAAGAGTAGAGGCTTTGAACCTGACAAATCAAGGCTGAAGTCCTGCTTCCTCCCAACAAGTAGATTTCGAGGAAGGTCCTTCTGTCTCTCTGAGTCACGGCTTCCTTGGTTATAGAATGGAGAAAATAGCATTGTCCTAATTGAATTGTTTGGATTCAACTGCATGACATCTCCAAGACACCATAGTGCCTGGCACACAGTTAGTCCTGACAAGAATCAGACACTACCATCAGACTTAATTTATCTTTCAGCATATATACTTTTGTTTTTGTTGTCATTTTGTGATTACTGGAAATTGAGCTCAGGGCCTCGTGAATGGTAGTCAAGTACTCTACTACTGAGCTACATCCCCAACCTTAAGTACACGCTTCCAAATCAATGATCTTTCCTCTTTATTGCTGGTCCACAGGCACTAGATTAGGGCCAGTGGTGAGTATCAGGAGTTTTGGAACTTTTAATTCTCCCTTCAAAGAATCTGGCATCTAGTGGAGGAGAGGGGAGACATGTTTACCATATGCCAGAAAAGGCAGACTATATTTGATTTGATTAGAACCATTTGGGAAATAATTAAAATGCAAATGCTTACCTTCTCTCCAGTGGATTCCAGCATCCACATTTTTGACAGGTACCTGAGGTGATCCTGATACAGATAATTCTTCATCAGACAATTCATAATGTGCAGGAAATTCCATGTAACATATATCTAATTCACGGGTGACATGAAGTCATTTAATGGCCAATATGGTTTCAAAGAGAAGCTCTTAGTGGAGATCTTGGTGTGGAGATGTTAGTGTGGGGGTTGGTAGTTATAGGATCATTGCAGGTATGAATCCCTTAGCTGCTAAAATGGGGGAGGGGTGAAGGATACAGAGAAGTCTGGGCAGCAGGGGCTTAGGACAGTAGCTATTTACCAACTAGCATGAAAGCATTTCACTATTTAATAACTGTCAGATGGCCAGCTTCTCTCTCTGAATCTTAATTTAAGTGTGTAGTTATACATGCAAGTAGTTTCTATCCCCCTTGAATTCCTCAACAGATGTCATATTATTTACATCTTATCCTTCTGTTTCTGTCTCCAATAGATGTCATAATTAAAACCAAATTAATGAACCAATACTAATAAAATTAACACATATTTCACTTGGCTCTAATACTAGGGACTTTTTAAAAACTCCAGTATTCTCCTTAAGGTTCTCAGAAGAATGCTGTCACCATCCTCTGTCACTTGTAGCCACTTACAATTCCCTGGTAGAAGCCTGGATTTCAAGGGGCTCAGGACTTTCACTTCTCATACTCTCTATTTGTTCAGCTTCTTACAGCTCAGAAGCTTTCTTAGCTTGATAGCTTGCCAAATCCCACCTCTCCTGACCTCCACCACAACCAGCAGAGAGCATGTTTATTTATACAGTGCTAAATTTTGGTTCCAGTTTTCTTACTTCCTTGTTACTTTTGGTTCCTGGTGGCTAACATAACTCAAAATGACAGATGAGAGGCTGAAATCTGAGTAAGCTGATAGCTCTTTCCATGGGTCAATAAGTGGCTAGGACACAGAGGAGTTGAATAAAGTAAATGTTCATACTTCTGCATCTCATCTTTCTCACATGGAAACTTTTTAAATATCTAGAAATAAAATGATGCTGCCTTTTAAAAAAGTTTGCTGTAAGTGAGCAGAATTTATGTGTAATATAACAATGTGCCATGTATGAGCACACTAGCACTGAAAGGATGTGATTGAACACCTTCAGGAATAAACATGGCATACGAGAATTTCTCTGGGCTTGTTTAGAGGAAATTCTAGGCCACATTAAATCTCTCTAGGTTGTGTGCCTTACACAGCTGGAGAATCACAGTTAGAGATATTTTTAGATTACAGCCTCTGGAATGGTCTGACTTGTCCTTGAATTTTATTCAGTTGACACAATTTTGATCAGTAACTTGAATGACATAACAGAGAAGACTAGTATAATTGCCAGTCTTACCCTGAGCCTTCTACTTGGGTCAGCAAAGCTATAATGCTTCTCTTCCTCAAAATGGAAAACTTTGTACTTCAAGAGACACTCTCAAGACAGTGAAAAAGAGTGGCCTGGGGGTGTGGCTCAGTGGTTCAGTGCTTCCTAACATGATCCCATGCTCATGCTTGGTAACTTCCCCAGCAAGGAGGGGATGGGAAAAGACAACCCAAACCACTTATAGAATGGGATAAAATATTTGCAAATCATATATCTGATAAGGAACTTATATCTAGAATATAAAAAGAATTCTTACAACTCAATGATCAAAAGATAAATAATTTCATTTAGAAATAGGTGAAATACCTGAATAGACACTTCTCCAAAGAAACTTAACAAATGACCAGTAAACACATGAAAAGATGTTTAACATCATTAGGGAAATTCAAACAAAACCCACAAAGAGGTATCATTTCACACCCACAAGGACAGCTACAACAACAACAACAAAAAGTTAATAACAGGTGCTAGCAAAGATGTGGGGAAATTAAAAACCCTTCCATTACTGGTTGAATTGTAAAATGCATAGTTGCTTTGGAAAACAGTCTGTCAGTTTGTCAAAAGTTTACATACAGAGTGGTGACTCTCTAACCAGGACCATCCAACTCTGCAATTCCACTACCAGGTCTATAATCAGGAGAAATTAAAACATATTCCCACATAAAAACTTCTACACAGATGTTCATAACAGCACTGTTCAGAACAACCAAAAAAATAGAAGCACTGTAACTGTCTGCCAACTGATGAACACGTAAATATAGTATGGTATATCCACACAATGCTGTATTCCCTAGGTTGGACTAGGGGAAAAGTATTGTAGCTGTTGGGAGAGCAAAAGCTTACTAAAGAAAACTAGTAATGTTTCCAGGAAGTATTTGGGTGGTTGACAATGGGATGACTGGAGTGACTTTTCTTGGCAGTATTCACCTGCACAGAGGAGGCAGATGACTGTTTTCTTCCATCGAAACAGGGCTCCATAAGTCACTAATGGACTCAGTCTTCATCATATTCAAAAATTAGGCAACATAAGACAAAACTGACACCATCTCTTTCCCTGGGTTTCTGTAACCCACCCCTATTAATTTTCCCCTTTCCTTTGTGGGCACCAGTTCTTGTCTTCTTTAACAGCATCCCATCCCCTATCCAGCAACCTTTAAATGCTGTTTGGGAAACTCAGGGAATACCATGAACAAGCTGGAATGAACTTTCTGCTTTCCTGACAGCAATCAACAAGCAATCACATAATACATTGTCAAATTTCAGGTGTGATCAGAGCTACCTACCAAGAACTGTGCCAGGCATTGAAAAGGTGCATTCCAACAGGTCCTGACTCGGCCTGGGGTCCCAATTACCAGTGCAGCACTTTGTAGGGAGCAAACATTCTACTATTTGCTGAGTCTATGAAAAACCAAAGATAGAAAAAACTAGTCACTTTGCAGCTTGGAGTTCAAAAGCTGATCTGACAGAGCTGACAGAGTAAGTCTTCATTTAAAAAAAAAAGAATTCAACAATTTAAAAAAGTGACAGTGAACAGGACAATGGCAAAGGCATAGGGAAGAAAAACAAACCACATATACAGAGGAGGAGGAATGGCTAGATCTTCATCATAATTCCCAGTGAAGCCAGGGTTGACATGAATGTACCTCAGCTCATTACCAGAAGGTATAGTTTGGGAGGGGAAAGATCACCTACTTAGAACATCATGTAAAAGATTTTAGTAATCTCTCCTCAAATAGCATGAGCTCAAAGTTCAAGGAGCTCAAATTTAGTGATAGAAAAGATGTTAGGCAGACAAATATGCAGAAAAATAAGATGATTCTAGTCCTTACATTAGATTTTTTCCCAGAACAATTAAGCATACCTGAGACATAAACCTTTGATTTTGCTTTTACAGTGGCTCAGGAAGAGAGATTATGTAAGTACAGACACCCCAGGCCAAGACAGAAGCCTGTGGCAGGCAAGCTCCCAGAGAGCAGTATGTGAGACAGGGAGGAGCGTGCAGGGTGTTTCTCCCAGAGTCTTCTCAGGACAAGTTCCTGTGAAAGAAAGGGAAAAGAGAAGTACTGTGCCAAACTGGTAGGCCAACTGTTATGAGGAGTTCTCAAGCGGGGGCTTCCAAGTTGCCCCTGGTGGGGTGAGAGGGTCATCCCTCCACTGACAAGTCATGCTGGGCCAGCTGCCCTTGGGAAGGGAGAGGAAAAGTGACTCTTCAGGCAAGGTAGTCCTTGAAGAAGGCTTAAAGCTGAAGGTGTCTGTGGCAGCTGGAAAAAATAGTCCTTCAGTCCTGAGGGGTCAGGGCCTCCTCTGAGTGGCATTTTCATTCCATTTGTTGCTTTAACATCCTTCAAATGAGACCTATGGAGCAATACACAGCCCACCTAGAGAAGCAGAGACGGCACGTGTCTGCTGCACAGAAACATAAGTTCTAAAATTTATTTAAATTTCCATGACATAAACTGATTTGTTAGGAGAACATTTGCAAATATTTAATTGATGTTTCTCTATCAACTAACCTTAATAATGGGCACAGATAGTCCAAAGCCAAGGAAAGTCTAACATAAAATGGGCTGTGTAATACATAGCACAGACATGGTCACCTGCAAATCCCCCACTTAGCTGCTTAACATACAGAATTCAAGCAGGTTACTAAAAAGAATATATGAAAAGGGCAAGACCAACTCTTGGCAAAATGGGAGTCAGATCAATTGAAATGTCCTCCAGACCTTTTCTTGTCGTGCATATGGCTGTGGCCTGGAGGCTTATAATTCGGATTTATTGTCAAGTTTTTCCCCCGAGGCAGGAGATGAGAGGCAGGTACCTTGTTCCAGAACTGACTTTCCTCTCTCCTCAGATCTCTCCTTCTGCCATCCTATCTTCTAAAAGCCAAGGGCAACTTAGACCTGCCCTTCTTGGGAAGAGCTTTGAATTTTTTTTCTTTAAGACAGTGTTTCCTAGTGTTTGCTTCATGGAGCATCTTCATTAGAATAAGAAATATATTTTAAATGCATGTTCATGAGTCCACCCCAGACCTGATTCACAATCTCTCAGACTGAGAACAAAATAACATTTTTTTTTCTTTTTTAAAACAATCTGGCTCCATGATTCTTCTACACACTGAACTTGTAAACACTCCCTTGCTCCTCTTGTGTCTATCAGCTGTCATGTTGGATGAAAATGGCTGAATTAAAGTCTAAAACTGCTCACTGGGTGGCCCATCTCAGGGAAGGCTTGGCATTTTATCTAAATATAGTTTCTAAGATTCACCAATTTCAGTGGGGAAATTTCAGCCATCAGGGTGAGACAATTTCCCTCTCTCTTTTCCCTCCCTTTCTCCTCTTTTTCTTCAGTGTTGTTTGGCACTCCACCCTTTTCAATCTTGTGCCCCTCTGTAAACATATGTATCAGCCAGGTTGTCTATAGACAACTTTATATTTATGTGTGATTTAATAACTTCTGATGAACTAACTCAGTTCTGGAGAATACAGGTTGAAACCAGACATGAAAACAAAGTTTTCACTTTTCCCAAGGGAATCATCTAACTTAAGTATTTATGGAAAAATGAAAACTATTTCATTGTCAAATAAGTTGGAAGTATACTAAATTGAAATAGGCATATTTCCCAACCACTGGACCTCTCAGAATCTTTAGTATGCTAATACACACTGTGAATTTCCCAGAGGACACTATGTATGCATTATGCCCAGATTTTCTTGGGAGCCTTTTGAAGTCATCTTGTTCTGTGGACCACACATGGGGAAAGATGTTTTAAACCATAGCATGTTGCCTGTCCATTGTTTACACTCATGCTGAAGTATTGGTTTCCATTTCCTACATTATGAAATTCTATGATTTCTGATAATTATTTGTGGCTGCCTAGTTACCTTGGGGCTCAATTTAAAATTTTGGCAAAAGCACCCAAACTAAGTCTTCATTTTTGTCTGTTATTTCAATAAACTTCAAATTCCAAATCTACATTTCATACTTTACTGAATTGCCTTTAAACATAGTATGCAATCTTTGGTCAATGTCTTACAAATGGATTTTCCTTCTATTCTTCTTGGCTGAAATAACTTTTTTAGACTAAATATCAATGTTCCTGTGCTCAACATTTATTTGAAAACCTATAACTCATACATCTGCTATATACCTTTTATTCCATTTATCATTTTGGTATTGGGAGAGAAAAGTCTTTTGAAACAGAATTACAGTCTATCCCATAAATGTGAAATTTACAGTGTTCAATGTAAGATTCTAAATGACTGCTTATGAAAGAATCCCAATGTTATTTTCACAAATACTTCACTTCTATTGCCTTCTCTGAAAACTAGTTTCTATTATTTTCCATGAAAGATCAGAGCTTCTTTTCAGATAATTTCTTAAGTTTCCCTAGGTAAATCTTGGAAAAAACATAATTGTAAGATGTCAATGGAATATCAATGCAGATTTCACCATAAAGACCTAATCAAGAATAGATAAGACACTGATGTTTTAGAGGTTTTTCAAGTTGGAATCATTCCATTCAGATTCATCCAGGAAATATACTGCTGTATAGATAAAATCAGACTGCAGTGAATGTTTTTAATCGGTTCTATTTCCAGCCTCTGCAAAGATAAGTTGTGACGCTGTCTGGGAGAAGGACCTCAATTCACACATTTGCTACCAATTCAACCTGCTTTCGTCTCTCTCCTGGAATGAGGCACATTCTTCATGCCAGATGCAAGGTGGCACCTTATTAAGTATTGCGGATGAAAGTGAAGAAAATTTTATAAGGAGTAAGTAGGTGGATGATGCACATATTACATTGACACAATAAAATGACTGTCATTAAGAGTTATGTCCATGTATGCAAAAATACATCCTGAAAAAAGTTTCTTTAAAATATTTCTTTTCTTAGTATGGCAGAAACTCTCACCCAGAACATTTACATGAACCCTGAGCCATTTCACTTGACAGTCAGGTCTTCCTTATTTTTTCCCCCTTGGAAAAGAGAATTTGAGGCCCTCACCAAGGACCCAGGAGGGCTGCAGTTCTAGCAAGTAGGTCAGAAAAACTTCTAAACTGAAGTGCCAATTCCTGTTCTTCTGGAGAACTGTCTACACATTCAATTTCCATTTATAAACAATTAAGCAGTCTTTTAATTAACAGCTTATTCATCACTCACCGTGTGCAGGTACATTATAGGCAGGCCTTCTGGCAGAAGCCAAACAATTAAAATTTTGTAGGAAAAGCAAAAGCGTATACATGCCAACTAACAATATAATCATGTCAAAGGAATTGTGCTAACGAATTGGGCCTTGTGTTTCACCCACCACCCAAACTTTCCTCTTACTTCTCCACTGTAGATTAAGTGTGCTTATTTATCTCTTTAAACTTTTTAGAAACATTGAGAAGTACCATAAAATTAGTCACTTTCATTAAATGTTGTTTTTCTCAAATTTTATTCCATGCATGATACATTTCTTTCAGAATTTTAAAATTGAGTTCTACAGAAAGAAAAGCAAATGAAACATCCCCCATATTCTATGATTCTGAGCTAACCATGTCCTTCTACAAAAGCATGTAAACGCATGTATCTCTATAAAATGATCCTGGGTAGAAACTGCTGCCCAGCGCTCAGGTGCAGGAACCTGGAGCCACCTGCCTGCATCTCAATTCTGTCTCCACGGCTGAGAAGTAGGGTCACTCAAGCAACTGACAACATTCATATCTCTCCATGTCTCCCTCTAGCAAGAGAAATTAATAGTACAACCCGCTTGGCAAAGTGGGCTGCATCTTTTAAGGCAGGTGAAGTCTTAGAAAAGTGCCTGGCACACATAAGGAATACTTAGTGTTTTCTATAACACCACCTATGCACACCGTGTTAGTATCTGTTTATTTCAGTTGCCTGCACACAGTGAACATCTGTCCTTGTCCGTAAATATAGTTCTACATAATGCTTTTGCTTTTGTTTTGTGGTACTGGGGCTTGAACTCAGAGCCTACACCTTGAGTCACTCCGCCAGCCGTTTTTTATGATGGGTTTTTTCGAGATAGTCTTACAAACTATTTGCCCTGGGCTGGCGATCCTACTGGTTTCTGCCTCCTGAGTAGCGAGGATTACAGGCGTGAGCCACTGGTGCCCGGCATATGCAATGATTTTTAATGGTTACCTAGTAGGGCAACTTAGCAGTACCATATTGATGCAATCTCCTCTTATTAGGAATAGATTGATAAAATTATGTATTTTGGTACTTATTCATTTGTTGCTATTACAAAGGATCCTTGCACCTACTTTGTGCGTAGCTCCCCAACTGTTTCTCTATGAGTTTATAGAAGTGGATTCACTGGATGGAAGACGAGACAGTCTTTACGGCTTTTGAAAGTCAGTAACACTTTACAGAAGGATTGTAACAAATGGATGAACAATGCATGCCTGCCTTTCTCTCCCCCCACCCCCCAGCCATGCACAGGTGGGGAATTATCATTGAAATGAAATTAATTTGAGCGAGTCATATTAGAGTAAAACACCAATTTCTGAGATCATTGCTAACCTGTAATGGTTTTATGTAAAACTTTGCACACCATTTATGAATCACAATTGTTATCTATCTTAACTGCCAGGATCTCTCATGAGAGTATTTGGAGCTATTCATCAAACTTAAATAACAATTTAAAAAAAGAAGATATATCAGAGAATTTGATTTAAATACCTCAGTTCTATAATTAGACTTTGGGGATTGTTTTGGAAAACAGAAGTCTATTCACAAAGACAGAAACCTGCTCTAATCAAAGTTTTTTAATGATGAGAATAGTCTAATATGTTTTGCTAGTTGATAATGAACATTAAATATGGTATATTAAATAAGTATAATCTAAGCTGTCACAAATGTCAAGAAATAAGCCAAAATAATTTGGGTGTGAGTTTGTTATTACTGCATTATAGGCCAATTTAGTTGTAAAGGTAAATAGACTGAGATTTTTTGGGTACCTTTAAACATAGATTAAATTTCAGAATGTGTATTGATAAAACAGTTGCACAACAGGTATTCAAAATAATTCTAAGAATAATTAATATTTTAATATTTAATTAGATTATGTTAAAATATCATTGGCACTTGCCTGGATATGAAATGTGGAAACTTCTTGTTTCTTGACAATGCATCTTCCAATCCACTTCTTGTCATCACAAGACCTGTTAAGTGCTATAATCAATGAAGCTATTGAAAGGAGTAATCAAATGGGCATGGAAGAGATTGGATGTTCATATCACAGAAACCTCAGAATAAGGTCCCTGTATGACACATTGCTTCTGTTTAGTGATTTCTGGGGTCTTGAAATTATAACACACACCTTTTTTCCTTTTCTTAAGTAGGCTTGGTTCCTCCATTTTCCACTATTTTATTGAAGTGTCCAGTCACTGAGTTACTGCAGGTCTGTTATCTGTTATGCAGATACACTGACCACATAACCTGGTAGTCACATCCAAACTCTTGGATGTGAAACTCTTTTACAGTAAAAGGGGCTTCAACTAATAATTATTCTAGAACTACCAGAATAAACCATGAGTTTTTGAGGCAAACTGAGACATAAAGTCACCCTGTTCCTAAGGATCTCAGTCTCAGACTGGGCTCCTGCATCTGGCCCAGAATAAAGTGAGTCCTGAAGCAGATGAACCATAAGAAAGCAGTGCTCACCTTCATAGAATAAAGGACTAAATGGCAATACTTAAGAGTGTTGTGAAATTGGCCATTTTCATTAAGAGTCTCTGCCACTGCTTTTTTTTTTTTCCTTCAAGTTTTATCACACAAGTAGTACATGTTTATACTAGAAAATAAACTTCATTCAGGTACCCAAAAAGAAAAACCCCCCAAAATTTCCATAATTCTGTAATTTTGATTAGCACATCTTTCTGCACAAACATGTCAGTGCATATTCCCTTAGAGTGTCTATTAAAAAACTGGGATCGAATTAAACCTTGAGTTGCTGTGGTCCAGTGGTTAGGAGCAGGAGCCACAGAGCCAACCTGCAATAAAACCTTCTTTCACCTCAAGTTGTGGATGCTACCTTAAGTTTGCCTTGCATGACCTTTGTCCCCACCTGCCAGGCCTCACTCCAGAGCTCTGTCCCATGGATTATGCTGCTTCTCTGCCGCACAACCAGTGGCTCTTACACCGTGCAGTCCTGCCGCACTGTGCCTCAGAATACATTCATAAATTTGAAGATTTGTTTCTGTTCACTTTCTGAAAGTGGCCCTGGGTACTTCCCCCTCCACTTTCTAGACTCTTAAGTGAATGTGCTATGAAAATGAGATGGGCTGAAATTCATAACTGTGCAATGACCATTGAAAGGTGACATTTCTGGATGCTTGGGTGAAGCATTTCATAGCTGAGAAGAGCAGTCACTGAGGCTAGAAGACCTTTGTGTTTCTGAAGGAGGCAGTCTTGCTTCATCACTCTGAAACACCAGGGTGGAGTTTAGTAGCACCTAACCCCTTTCCTGGCACAGACTGGGACAAAATGGTGACTCCGTGACTCAGAAATAGGAAAACAAGAAGGAAGTAGAACATTGAGCTATTTTTTACCTTCATCATTTTCTTTGCAGAGCACCTGAGCAGTAAAGCAGTGGAAGTGTGGATGGGTTTGAACCAGCTGGATGGAGATACTGGCTGGCAATGGTCTGATGGAACACCACTCAACTATCTGAACTGGAACCCAGGTACCCAGAATGTTATATTTACCTACAGAGTGCAGCATCGTCCTGCAGACTTGACGAGCTAGATCTATGACATATGATTCTGAAAGTGGGTTATAAATATGTTTTAGCCTGACTGGATCAAGCTAGTTAAGCTTTTCCAGACAAGAAGGTGGAGACCAGAAAGGTAAACTATTGAACCAAGGTTGCAAGGGAATTGGGGTCAGAACCAAGGTTTGGACTTCTGTTTTAAATAAAGCAATAAATTACAAAATATTCCTCTACTTGAAAACAATAGAAATGGTTCTTTTGTGATTTGGGGGAAAGCATTTAATTGTCAGGCCTGGTCTTTTCTGCAAAATTATAGGCATAGCATAATATCTTCTAGGATCCACTCTCTATGCCTAAGAAAACAGCTGTCTCCTGGTCTTAAAACTACATTTCAGTGAATAGTCAACTCACATTAAACACACACATTGTATTTTCAGAGATAAATGTTGAGCCATTTGTTGAATATCACTGTGGAACATTTAATTCATTTGTGCCAACTGCCTGGAAGAGTAAGGATTGTGAGTCCACTTTGCCTTATATATGTAAAAAATATCTAAACCACACTGACCATGAAATAGTTGGTAAGTGTTTTTATTGTAAGTTATTCTTATGTGTTGTTTACTTATTCACTCAATATGCTAAAATTCCTAATTTGCTAATAATTCATGATTTAAGTGTGGTTAATGTTGGTTTATAGGAACAAACTGGGTTCATATATGTTTTATATAAACCAATTGTGGTTCATATATATGTGGCTGGGTCATATCTGTAATTCCAAGAGGCACCATGAATCTGACAAATGCATGTAGGTCTTTACTAAAAACAGAAATAAAATAATCCAATCATAACAAATGCTTTCTTTCATTCTTTTAAAACATTTTCATTCTTTGTCATCTTACATTCGAAAAGCAAAACATGCTCCCTTATCTATTCTAATTTTGAGTTTTATGTTTCTCCTAGAAGCTAATGATAAAGCAAATAATTTAATAAAATCTTTACTGCATTGATTTGCTTTTTGTTAACTTTTTAATATTGGCACTAATAATTGTATATATTTATGGGGTACAATGTGTTTTGCTACATGTATACATCGTATAATAATCAAATCAAGGTAATTAGCTTATCTGCTATTTCAAATAATTATCCTGTCTTTATGGTAAGAACATTCAAAATCCTCTCTTCTAGCTGTTTTGAAATATACAATGCATTATTTTTAACTGTATTCACCAAATTGTGAAATACAACTAGAACCTATTCCTCCTCTTTAATTATAACTTCACACTCTACTTCATTGGTTTTCTACCACATTCCATATTTCATATCAATAACACATGCTTCCCATTAAAAGAAAATAAAAAATTGGGGGTGTAACTAAGACTTAAATAATACCTAATTATAATCTAGTAACTGAAATCCAGTTACTTCTGTTTTTAAGATCTTATAACCTGATTTTAGTTTTAGTGAGAATTAATGTCTTAACTAAAAGCAGAGATAAAACATAACCATTTTAAAAGATTATTATAAGAATAATTAGATACAACTCTAGATTTAAAATAAACCCAATTATCATTTTGAAATATTTCCCCTTGCTACTAGGTTTTAGCTCTCATTTTCCTTCAAATTACTAAACCTGAGATTATTGTAAAATAGAGGATAGGGACAGGGAGAGAAGAAACATTTCACCGGTTTTTTGTGTAGGGATTTTTTTCTATTATTTTGAGAACTTGCTAAAATTGCTACTGGCTGTTATTATCCTTTTCCCTATTTCTTCCTTCTTTCACCTTTATTTTTCCATTTCTTCCTTCACCTTTTCCTTTTTTTTTTCCCTCTTGTCACCATTCTTTCCCTCTGTTTTATTTATTCTTCTCATCTTTGAGATGGTTGCACTAAACTGGATTGGATTACTTGCTGCTGCTTTGAGTCCAACAGATTCTTCTGATAGTCTAGTACAGTATCTTCAAACTATATTTCTGGGAGCCCAGGGTTCTTTTTCAAAAATTGTATTTATTAATTGACATAAAAACATAAAAATCATACATATTAATGGAATATCATATAATGTTACAATACATGAACGCACTGTGCAATGTTTAAGTCAGGTTAGACACATCCATCTCCTCAATCATTTATCATGTCTCTATGGTAAAAATGTTCAAAATTCTTTTTTCTACCTTCTTGAAATATGCAGTTCATGATTGTCACCTATAGTCACCTTACTGTACAATAGCATGCCAGAACTATCCACTCTCATCTAAACCTAATTTGTTCAGCATTTTTATTATGAAGGGAGGTTGAATTTTATCTAGTGCTTTTTCTGCATCTATTGAGATGATCATATGGTTTTTCTCCATCATTCTGTTAATATGGCATTTTATGTTTATTGATTTGCATATATTGAACCATCCTTGCATCTCTGAGATCGCAGGTGAATAATCTTTTAAATGTGCTGTTGGATTTGGTTTGCTAGTATTTTGTTGAGTTTTGCAGCTCTCAAGGATATTGGCTTGTAAGTTTCTTTTTTGTGTTGTATCATCTGGTTTTAGTATGAGGGTAAAGTTAGCCATATAGAATGTGTTTAGAAGAATTCCTTCCTCTTTTATTTTTTGGAATAGCAATGAGAATTGGTATTATTAGTTCTGTAAATGTTTGATAGTATTCAATAATAAAGCCACCTGGTCCTGGGCCACCTGGTCCTGGGCTTTTCTTTGATGGGAGACTTTTTATTACTGATTCACTCTCATTACTTGTTTTTGGTCTATTCATGTTTTCTATTTCTTCATGATTCAGTCTTGGTAAAGTGTATATGCCTACGAATTGGCCCATTTCTCCTAAGTTATCAAATTCGTTGGCATATAGATGTTCATAATAATCCCTAATGACCTTTTTATTTATGTGGTGTCAGTTGTAATGTATCCATTGTCATCTCTAATTTGACGTATTTGAGTCCTTTTTTTTTTTCTTAGTCTAGTTAAGGGTTTGTCTGTTTATCTTTTGAATAACTAGCCACTTGTTTTGTATTTTTAAATCTCCTCTTCTTTCATTTCTGCTCTGATTTTTATTTCCTTCTACTAATTTGGGGTTTGCTTGGTTCCTGTTTTCTGGTTCTTTGAGATGCAGCTATAGGTTGTTTATTTGAGACCTTTTCTGCTTTGTGTGTCTATGGGAGAATAATCACCAGAGAATCTTATTCAACCACCATTTTTTTTTCTGTAGTATTGGGGATGGAACCCAAGGCCTACCCATAGTAAGCAGTGCTCTGCCACTGAGCTGCATCCCCAGCCCTCAACCACCACTTTGCTCCACCTCCCCAAGGTTCTTTCTTGGCTCTGCACTTGCTTCAATCAGAAAAGTTCCTCTTTCATCTTTTTGTCTTACATTTAGAGTGAGGTTTAAAATTTCATGTTTAAAAAAGGTTCCATGATGTCTTTTTAGGCTGTCAGCCATCGGGATAGATGACATCTGAATGTTCTAACATTCTTTGACTATGATTCTTATTGATATCAGAGTCTTAGAAGCAATTTTAGGGTTCTTTGTGGGGAGTAAGAGGGTGGGTTGGTTGATTGTTCAGCAGTACTGGAGTTTGAACTCAGGGCCTTGCACTTACTAGGCCAGCTCTCTGCCACAACTTAGCTGTACCTCCAGCCCCCTAGAAGCAATTCTTTTAAATGATTTGTTTTCCAAATAGCAAATAAAGTGTACCCACTAAATTTGTTCTTAAGGGAGGCACCTAGGGATGTGGAACATAATGGTAGTTGAGGGCTGGAGATACAGCTCAATGGTAGACCACTTACCTAACATGTGAGAAGTCCTGGGTTCTATTCCCAGCACTGCAGGAAAAAAAAATGTTGGTGGCTGAGTAAAGCAAAACTGCAATTACTTGTGAGGGACAAACTCTTGAAAAAGGAGATCTAAAACCTAGTATCACCTTCCTCTCCAAAGTCCAAACCATCAAGACACTTGGCTCCTAGAAATCCAACCCAGATTTGATACTCACCCATCGTGATATCACAGGCACCAACCAGATTGACCCTCAAGGTGAAACCTATTTGTCATTCCTACTCTACAGGAAGTGGTCAGACTTTTAGACTCTTTTTACCTGAAGATAAATATCTATCCTATGTGTAAATACTGTATATAAAATCTTTGGAATACCATTTAAATTACATTCCACAATAGACCTTTTGCAATGTCAAAACATTTCAGAAAAGGACTCTATTAAATTTTATATCTAGCCCTGACTCTCCATTTTCATTGTGTGACTTTTGTAACATCTCTAACTTCTTTGTGCCAGAGGTCTCTCATCTGGAAAATGAAGTACTAAAATTCATTAGATCTAGGTCAGAGATGAGACTCTTCTCACTCCAGAGATCTAAAATTCCATGACTTATATGTCATTTCATAAGTTTTTATTTTTTAACCTTTTTAAAAGTAATCATATTGATGGAAATTTATATAAATGGTATTAAGTAATACTTAAAATAATTATGGAAAATGGTATTTTTTTCTGTTGATTTAAAAAGAAAAAGATGCATGGAAATATTATACTACCCACTGTGAGCCTGGCTGGAATCCCTACCATCGTAATTGCTACAAGCTTCAGAAGGAAGAAAAGACCTGGAATGAGGCTTTGCATTCTTGCCAGTCTGATAACAGTACATTAATAGACATAGCTTCATTAGCAGAAGTGGAGTTCTTTGTAAACCTCCTTGGAGATGGTGAGTCCCAACCACCTTTCATTTAAGAGATGACATATGATGTAGTAACTACTTTTTTAAAGGGGAGTTGAAAAGAAATTTAAGCTATTCAAAGGTGATGATTTATGGCACATATATTTCAAGTTTCTAAATAACATCCAGAAACAAAAATTCATTGGAGTTTTTACAAAATCCATGTTCAGAGACATCTTCACAAATGTCAGCTAGATTTCTTTTTAAAAATTTTTAAGGGATAAAAGTCATTTCCTGAAATTTCTAATACAAGATCTAAACCTGTGATTTAGGTTTATGACTAGTAGATAACAGCATGCGGAGTCACACAAAGGGAATTTCTTAGGCAAATAATTTAACTTAAATAACATTAGCCAGTTAAAAAAGTGATGATTTAATTACTTTTCAGGCTATGTGTCATGTTTAGGAGTTGCACACTCCTGGTCCACTCTCATCTTCATTTCATTGTAGCAAGTCTGTCCCTCCCTATGTCCTATGCTTAACATGGAATATTGTTGAAAAACACTGAAGCCATCAACTTCACGTTTTAGTGCTTAAAAATGAAAAAACAAAAAAAATTCCCACACTTTACTTTGATGACCTTTTCAACACTAGGCTTTAGTTTGGAGTGAAAAACAAATCCTTCTCTGTCATTTTTCCTAATCCTTTGCATTTGGGATTAAAAGAATCCTCCAGCTGCCTCTATGTAACAAGAACACTGGAACATCGCTCTCAAATGCCTTGGGTCTTTTCACCCCACCCAGGCTGTCAAGCTTATTTATTTTTTTCTAGTAACCCCATTGCTCTCATTTCAATGCCTTTAAAAGCATTTGTTCCTTTTTTTCATTGACAAAAACCCCACCACCTTAAAGCTTAGACTATTGTTAATTTTTTTTAATGTGCCCTTCCCATAATAAAATCAACCTTCCTATCTTTTTCTTTTTTCTAGGCAGAAGCAAAAGCTTACTTTTTTTTTTTCTTGACTGTACTAGGGTTTGAACTCAGGGCCTCACACTTACTAGGTAAGCAGTCTACCACTTGAGCCACTCCCCCATCCCTAAAAGCTGACTTTTAGATCGCTTTACATATAGTAGTAGTTGCTGGAGTCCCAGGAATCCGAGGAGCAAGACCTTTAGCTTTGTCCCTGACTTATAACATCTATATCAAGAAAATCTGTATATTATGGAAGGGAGAAGGTTTAGGTGGGTATTTTGTGCTAAAACTTAAACAGGTTTTTTTTTCACATGAAGAAATGAAAAAGAAATCATATGCAAAGTGATATGTTTTGGTAATAACCCCTCTGTATTATCAACTTTGCAAATAACAGTATCATATAAATAATTTACATTTATCTCTTACAGAAAATGCATCAGAAACATGGATTGGTCTGAGCAGCAATAAAATCCCAGTTTCCTTTGAATGGTCTAACAGCTCCTCAGTCATCTTCACAAACTGGCACACACTTGAGCCCCAAATTCTTCCAAATAGAAGCCGGCTATGTGTCTCAGCAGAGCAATCTGTAAGTTGGTTTGCATGTTCAGTTCTCAATTTTGCTGGACTTGTAATGAGGATCACCTATGCCAGAGACCTGAGCAATGGCAAAAACCAAGAGAGGCACAGTTCCTGTTCCTCATGGGGCTTCCATGCTAAGCAATAGACAAGTAAACACAGAACCCTTGTGATAATTATGGCTGTGATGAATGCGCTGAGGAAACAGGTGACATGATGGTGAGAAACTTGGGCTGGAGCAGTTGCTTCAGACAAGACAGTCACAGAAGCCCTCTCGAAAGAGGACATGTAAGGTAGGAACTCAAACAAACAAAAAGTCTCTTCTAGAACAAGATTAGAACATGCCAGGCAAAGGGCAGCAAGCACAAAGGCCCAGAGGGTTGCCATCTTTAATGATCAAAACAATGACCAAGTGTGAGAGACTAAGTGTGAGAGTGTGGTAAGATATGGGGCAGGAGGAGTGGAAAAATTCCAGGCTTGTAGGCAAAAGGATAGGAACCATTAAATGCTTCTAGGACACAGGGGTTTGTGGGGTGGGGGAGAATAGTCTGACTTACATCTTTAAAAAATTATTGCTGCTACATAGAAAATGGATTAGAGAGGAATAAAAGAAAAACATAAAAATATTTTTGGCAGTTTCTCCAGGGTTGACAGAGTAGTGATTATGAGGAGAAGATAACAAATTCAAGGAGATTTGAGAGGACTTGTTACTAAATTAGATGTGAAGGTAAGAAAGAGGTAGATTTTTGACTTAAGCAACCACCATTTTGGTACATGGTGGTGTGGTTGACCACCATGGTGAAGGGGAAAAGAAGAACTGAGGTGGAAGATTACTGTGGAGAGTGATGCCTTTTAAGCTCCATTATCTTATTAACATAAAAGGTTTTCGGCAGTATGTGTATATTTTTAAATATTGTGATCAATGGTAAATCTCACTCACATAATTGCAATGGATCCTATCACCTTAACATTACACATACCCCTGTGTTCTCATCTCTCATTTATCTAAAACATTGGATTACACAGAATTAGTTTAATACCGAGCCATTTGAATTGCTTATTATATATTAAAAACAGCCTTACTCTCTCTGCTTAAAGAGAATTACTGGCTGAGTTTTAGGAGGCTTTTGGGATTTGATGGATGTCCTCATTCTTTTTAACCACCAGGACACCACGCCTGTGCCAACCAAATAGGGAAATTTTCTAAGAATTTGTTTTTGTGATGTTTCATTGTTGAATCTTTTGAGTCTTGTAGGAACATATGCAGTTACAATTGTATATACAATCACAGTGCCTCTGGGTGACATTTAGGGAGGAAGAAACAATGACCTCTCTAAATGTTTATCATGGGTCTAGCTCTGCTGAAATCCAGAACTTTATGCTATATTATCGATGGTTTATTGATCCATTGTTTTGATACAACTAAGATGACCTTCATTTTCTATTGTCTGACATGGATATTTCACTTAGAATCTTTACAGAACAGGAGCCATTGTTTGGATAGGAATTATTTTAAGAGAGCAAGGATAGATACTAATATTGGGTGGGTCTGAACAATGCTGCCCTAAGTGTAATAATTCGAAGCCCCCATTTTGGAGCTACAATACATAACAATTAACATTTCCATCAAGTAGAATTCAATATGAATACAATTATTAATAATAAGTAGCTCAATCATAGTTAATGCATAGATTTAAATGTGGGAGACTAGGAGACTGTTTATTCACTTATCCACCCAACAGTCATTAGCAACTAATATGTGCCTGACGCTATCCTGTAACTGGATGTTTTGTTGGACTACTCCATGGAGACGGACACAGCACTGCTCTTACAGGCAAAGGTGTCAGCCCCTGACATAGTATGTTTCTGAAGGTTGTAGAAGGGCTCCATAGTCCCCTAAAATTTCCTGAATACCTGAGATTTAAATTGTATGGTTTTAATCTAAGATTATGATTTGTGTTAAAATAATAAAAACTTATCTGGGAAAATAAAATTTTAATTAGTTAGTAGTTATTGTATCATGATCAGTGAAGGATATAAAAGTAGCCTTTGGCAGCCTAGGAGAAAACCTGAAAGTATCTCCCTAGCAGTAATGAGGAAGGTGCAGCCAGGCATGGTAGTACATGTCTATAATCCCAGCACCTTGGGAGGCTTAGGCAGGAGAATTGTAAGTTCAAGGCTAACCTGAGCTACATAGAAATTTCCAAGTCAGTCTGGGCTACATAAGGAGACCCTGTTTCAATAAAACAATGACTGACTGAGTGGCTGGCTGGATAGATGATAGATGATAGATAGATAGATAGATAGATAGATAGATAGATAGATAGATAGAAAGCTGGCTGGGTGGTGCTCTGAAAACTTTGTGATGAAGGACATTGGGGGTTAAGCATGAATTTCAGTCATGAGAATGGTACCTAGGATGATTCATGGAGTGTCCAGTTATTTCCCACCCTTTGATTTACCACTTAGAAGTAGCTGGAGAGGGAAAGCATCATTCTCACCTGGTCAGAGGGATGACTTCATCCAGGTTATTTTCCAAGTGTGGGCCCCAGCCCAGCAGCATCAACATCCCCTGCAACCTTATTAAAACACAAACTCTCAGGTTCCACCAGACCCACTGAATGAGACCCTTTGTCATAGAGAACAGTCACCAATGGTTCAGGGGAGGCCTGTCTGGGTTATGTGGTACACACTAATGACTGAAAACCACTGCTCTCCCATCTTTTTCAAGGAAGGATGGAGAGCTGCTTATAATCAAAGCTAGGCTGACCTCATTATTAGCATTGCCTCCAAGTTTTTACTAACTATAGGACCCTGTACAAAGTATTAACATGGGAATAATAAATCCTACATCATAGGATTGTTGAGATAGATGAAAATGGCCCAATCTTAAGCTGGCACAAGCAGCAACCAAGAAATATCAATTGTTTCCTCCCTCCTATCCACCCAGTTCTGGATTGGAACTGCCATGTGCTGGAGGCACAGCAGGGCCTGTATTCATGAAGAGACTGCCAGTCCTTTCCATGGCTAGGCAGGGTCCTAAAACTACTCTATCAGGAGTGCTTGTTATCAATCACATTGTTTGTTTACAAAACTTGTCATTGCCCATCAGCATCAGCATGGAGTGTACTCATTCATGTTGTAACACTTTCCTCCTTAGGAAGGGCACTGGGAAGTTAAAGATTGTGAAGAAACACTCTATTACATTTGTAAAAAAGCAGGCCAAGTCCTTTCTGATGCTTACTCAGGATGCCAAGAGGTAAGTGCTGTTAATGCGCCAATGTCAGTACAGGGGACTACAGAACCAGAATAGCATACCAACCATCATTTTAAAATAAATCAGTCTCCACATGCTGCCTTTGCTTCTCCTCCCTCTCTTTCCTTTCCCTTCCTTCCCCTTCTTCTTCCCTCCTCTTTATTTCTGAGAGTGGGCTACTTTTTACAAACCAAACAATTATAAGCTAGAGGAACCTGAAGGATTTGCAGCCCTGAAAGGATCATTGTCTTGCTGTCCTGTTTGACTCAAGTCTACTTTTTATAAATTAAAAAAATTAAATGATCCTATTATTCCATCTGTTCAGTGAGTGTTAAGGGATGCCCCATCTCACATGTTTTTCATTGTTCTCAAGCGGCTATCAGAAAGCAAATGAATTCCTTGGAAACAGAGAAGGGGTTTCTGCACCCAGAACTTTGCCTTCCTCTTCACCCTTTCTAGACTTACATATTGAAATAGAATACAGAACCTTAGAATTAGCCTCTAAGGAAGAACGAATACCAATTATACAAAAACTGTTCCATAAAGCTGAGGTGAACTTTACCCTAATACTAAAATCAGACACAGATCTCATAAACACAGATGCAAAAAAATGTTTTTAAGAGTTTTAGAGGACTGGAGGAGTAGCTCAAGTGGTAGAGTATTTGCTTTGCAAGAGTGGAGCCCTGAGTTCAAACCCCAGTCCCACCAACAAAAAAAAAAAGAAAGAAAGAAAAATTCTTACTTAGAGGAGGATCCAAGATGCAACTAGGGCACAGAAGCAGACAGCGTGAGCTCCATGAATCAAAAACCTTGCTGAGATGCTGGAGCCACACTTGGTGGAAATAAAGCACCAAGGATAATCAAAACTTCGATACCCTGAACCCTTAGCCCATATAAAGCTTCTCCATACCATGTTGCACTGAGAAAACAGGAGGGCTGCCACTGCCGCCATATACCAGCATCAAACCTGCCTGGGAGACATTTGGCAGACCAGATAGTTTTACTATTGTGAATTGGCTAATACCAAATTACACTCAGACCAGGGACAGAAATAGTACACACACACTTAGCTAAAAACCCAATACAGCCCCAAAATAAAATTAAGCCAAGGGAAAGAAAACAGGTGACTGAAACTACCAACTAGCCTATCAAGAACATAGTTGCACAGTACCAAGTGGAGTTATGGGAAGATGAAAAAGGTATGGAAACCATTCTCCCCCCCCAAAGAATAATGTAGTACAGGTTTCAGAGGGAAATGAAGAAAACGGATACCCAGTTCCAGACTCCAACAAAACAAAGATTAATGATGCCAAGGAATCCAACAATGCCCACAAGAACATCCTTAAAGAAGAAATCCTGCAAGCAATCACTGAGAAGTTCATGGAGATGTTACTATATATGGTCAACCAAAACATACAAGAGGCACTCAAGAAATTCCAAGACACCAAAAATAAAGAATTTGAGAAGACACAGAAACGAATAAATGAACTCATTGGAGCCCTAAATAAACACCAAAGTGAAACAGAAAACACTATAAATAGAGAGATAAATGAATTAAAGATAAAAGTAGACAATATTAAAGAGGAAGTGACCCATGATATGGAAAACCTCAGAAAAAAGAATGAAACAGAAATACAAAACACAATGGAAGGCCACTCCAGCAAACTATAACAAGCAGAAGACTCTCAGAACTTGAAGATGAAATGGAAATTAAAGGAAAAACTGAAGAGCTATTAGTCAGACAACTCAAGACCTGTGAAAGGAATATGCAAGAACTCACCAACTCCATGAAAAGACCAAACCTGACAATCATGGACATTGAAGAAGAAGAGGTGTAAGCAAAAGGGATTCATAATATATTCAACAAAATAATAACAGAAAATTTCCCAAACCTAGAGAAAGCTATGCCCTTCAGGTACAGGAAGACTCCAGGACACCAAATAGACTTGACAAAAATAGAACTACCCCAAGACATATTATCATTAAAATAACAAGCACAGAACATAGAGAAAGAATATTGAAAGCTGTAAGATAGAAAAAACAACACACAAAGGTAAACCCATCAAAATCATAGCAAATTTCTCAACGGAAACCTTAAAAGCAAGAAGGGCATGGAGTGAGGTCTTCCAAACACTGAATGAAAACAACTTCAACCCTAGGATACTCTGTCCAGCAAAACTATCATTCAAAATAGATGGAGCAATAAAAGTCTTCCACAATAAGCAGAAACTAAACAATATATGACCACCAAGGCACCACTACAAAAGATTCCTCAAGGAATTCTGCACACAGAAAATGAAAGCAAACAAAACCATGAGAGGACAGGCAGCACCAAACCACAGGAGAAGAAAAGACAAGGAATCAGAGAGTAACATTGATTCAGCAACACACAATCAAACCCTTAAAAAACACAAACAACTAAATGACAGGAATCACACATACCTATCAATGCTAACACTGAATATTAACAGACTTAACTCCCCCATCAAAAGACACCATTGGCAAACTGGATTAAAAAGGAAGATCCAACAATCTATTGTTTACAGAAGACCCATCTCATTGACAGAAACAAGTACTAGCTTAGGGCAAAAGGCTGAAAGAAGATTTACCAAGCCAATGGCCCCCCAAGTAAGTATATTGCAGGAGTAGCAATACTTATCTTGAACAAAGTAGACTTCAAACTTACATTGATTAAATGAAATAAAGAAGGACACTCCATACTAATAAAAGGGAAAATACATCAAAAGGAAATAACAATTATCAACCTATATGCACCCAATGTCAGTGCACCAATTTCACCAAACATGCTCTGAGTAGTAGGAGACTTTACCCTATCACCAATAGATAACTCATCCAAACAAAAAATCAATAAAGAAATTCTAGAACTGAATCACACCATAGATCAAATGGACCTAGCTGATGTTTTCAGAATATTTTATTCAACTTCCATACAATATACATTCTTCTCAGCACCCCATGGAACGTTCTCCAAAATTGATCATATCTTAGGACACAAAGCAAGCCTCAACAAATATAAGAAAATAGAAATAATCCCATGCATTCTATCTGATCACAATGCATTAAAACTAGAACTCAACAACAAAGATAGCAGTAGAAAACATGAAAACAATTGGAAACTGAACAACACATTACTCAATGATCCGTGGGTCATTGATGAAATAAAAGAGGAAATTAAAAGGTTCCTGGAAGTTAATAAAAATGAAAACACAACATACCAGAACCTATGGGACATAGCAAAGGCAGCCCTAAGAGGAATGTTTATAGCCATGAATGCATATATTAAAAGACAGAAAGATCTCAAGTCAATGACCTAATGCTACATCTCAAACTCTGAGAAAAACAAGAACAAGCAAAAACCCAAAACAAGCAGAAGGAGACAAATAATAAAACATAAGGGCCAAAATTGATGAAATAGAAACAATAACAACAAAAAACATACAAAGAATCAATGAAACAAAAAGTTGGTTCTTTGAAAAAATAAACAAGATTAACAGACTCCTGGCAAACCTGACTAAAATGAGGAGAGAAAAAACCCAAATCAGTAAAATCAGAAGTGCAAAAGGGAAGATAACAACAAACACCACAGAAATTCAGGGAAACATCAGAGATACTTTGAGAACCTATATTCCAATAAATTTGAAAATCTTAAAGAAATGGACTAATGTCTAGATACTTATTACCATCCAAAATTGAGCCAGGAGGAAATTAATCACCTGAATAGATCTATAACACAAAATGAAATTGAAGCAGCAATAAAGAGTGTCCCAAAAAAGAAAAGTCCAGGACCTGATGGATTCTCAGCTGAATTCTATCGGACCTTTAAAGGAGAGTTAAAACCAACTCTCCTTAAACTGTTCCATGAAATAGAAAGGGAGGGAATATTGTCTAACTCATTTTATGAAGCCAGTATTACACTCATTCCAAAACCAGGCAAAGACACCTCCAAAAAGGAGAACTATAGGCCAATCGCCTTAATGAACATCAATGCAAAAATCCTCAACAAAATAATGGCAAATAAAATCCAACAACATATCAGAGAGATCATTCGCCATGACCAAGTCAGCTAATCCCAGGAATGCAGGGGTGGTTCAACATATATAAATCTATAAATGTAATTCAGCACATTAATAGAAGCAATGACAAAAGCCACTTGATCATCTCAATAGATGCAGAAAAAGCCTTTGATAAGGTCCAACACCACTTCATAATAAAAGCTCTAAGAGGCGCAGTTACCACATCACTGGAAAGATGGCAGAGGGAGAGGAAAGAAAAAAGATCCCATTGGTTCTAGAAAATCTCCTGAAAAAGAGGAAAGCTTATCAAGCCCTCAAAGCCACCCAAGCAAAACAAGCACTTTTGGAAAAGAAGGAGAGGAAAGGAAAAGAGTTCAGGTTTAAACGGCTGGAATCATTCCAACGTGATTCCTGGAGACAGCAACGCGATAAGGTGCGTGTCAGACGTCTGGAAGTGAAACCTCGTGCTTTGGAAGTGCCTGATAAACATTCCTTGGCCTTTGTTGTGCGCATCCAAAGGATTGAAGGCGTCAGTTTACTGGTGAAGAGGACCATTGCAAGACTTCGTCTGAAGAAATTGTTTAGTGGTGTCTTTGTCAATCACTACCAGAAACATGAAAATGCTTTGTGTAAGCAGCAATCAAGAGTCTCACCAAAAAGAAAAGTCCAGGACCTGATGGATTCTCTGCTGAATTCTATCAAACTTTTAAAGAAGAACTGATACCAACCCTCCTTAAACTGTTCCACGAAATAGAAAGGGAAGGAAAACTGCTGAACACATTTTATGAAGCCAGTATTACACTTATCCCAAAACCAGGCAAAGACACCTCCAAAAAGGAACTATAGGCCAATCTCCTTAATGAACATTTGAAAAAATCCTCAACAAAATAATGGCAAACCGAATTCAACAACACATCAAAAGATTATTCACCACGACCAAGTAGGCTTCATCCCAGGGATGCAGGGTGG